AAAAAAAAAGGAAAAAGGGCGGGTCTGCACTATTGGACCCCTTGCATCGGGCTGCATTCGAAGCTGCACGATAGCAGGTCAGCGCGGCTACATTCGGCCCCAAACGATCCGCATCCGCGCGGTGCCTTGCAGCCAATTTGTCCTGGCGCCATACGCCCAACGCCCGCTCTCACTCGCGTTCCTGAACACCCTTACCGGGACCCTGTCACTGGTGCCGGAACTTGGATCTTTCCAACACCCCCTTGCGTTCTTTTCCCATCTCGGCCCATCCTCACAAGCCCCCTGGCAACCCACGGCACGCTCCAAGTAAGTAGGCAATCGCGCGACGCGGACCAAACCCCCTTCCCCCACATGGCCCAAAAAAACAAAATGTCGGCAAAAGGCTTTTTTTTTGGCCTTTGTCTACCCTGGGAAGCTCAAGCGGCATGTCGATCGAACTTGCATTGCCGCACACACTTTTCAGCCCAAGCTCCCTTACTGTTGATGCACGGTGCTTCTTCCCACGCTTGGGTGCGTGCAGCAAGGAAGATGGCCTTCCGCCCATTGTGCGAGCCAGTGCACTGGACCAAGACGAATGCCCGCTGCATCATTTGTGGCCCCGCTCGTCCGGTACAGCTTGCCGTCCCACTTCAACCGTACAGTGCGTTGGCCACTTCATCATCAGCACCCACGTCCAGCGTCGCTTGGCGCTTTGCTTGCCACCGCCAAACTCTAAAGCCTCGGGGATACTTATACTGAACAGCGCTGGAACAATTCTGCCGCCTCGTCTCCCTTTCACCCTCTCACAGTCCTGAGCCGCCCTCTATATCCTCTCGTCAGCCAGAGCACTCCGCTTCGAAAGCATACAGACGCTCGCAGATATACCACCGAGGACGTCCCCCTATTCGCCGACAGCTCGGATCAACAGGAAACTGTTGAGGATAGCAGGTGAAAAAACTTGCACACAGGCGCAATCCAGTACCGCAAATCTTTCACACAAGACACAAAATGAAGATCCTCTTCATCTGCACAGCCTTTAACTCGCTTGCACAGGTATGTCCTCACAAACGCCGCTTATAAACGAGCCTTGTACTGATTTTTGTCCTCTCGATTCGATCGTTTGCTAGCGCACGGCATTGGTGCTGCGCGAAAGGGGTCATGTCGTGACCGTCGAATATGCGCTTTCGCCAGAGGGCATGATCGAGGCTGCCGACCTCACACAGCCACACCT